TTTTCAAATGCCTCATTAATGATGAGAATCGACGGATCTATCGACAGGCTCAGGTCTAGAAAACCCTCATGAACAAGGGAGTACCTTCACTTTTAGAGCTTTGTCCTGATCTGGTGCAGAATCAATGTGATCAGGACATTTCTAAGTAGAGCCAGGAAAGTAAGTTCCGCCAGCACATTGAACTCCAAAATAAGGACTTTGAACAAAATACAAATTAACAGTGGTCGCGAGAAAGTATTATCGACAAACATACAGGTTGGCAGGAAGCAAAACAATCCCCTCATCAGTATTCAAATGTCAATCTATATCACCTAACTATTTATGAGTGACAACGTACTAAATACAGTCAGGCAAGGAATGCAAAAGTTCGCCAGAAAGACATCACTCTGCCAAGCTCATGCCTCTCAGCACCATCAGACGGGCGCTACAACAGGCAAAGACAGGGCTCCAAACCCTGACATATCTTCATGCACAAATCGATTTGAATATGAACGCAGAAGCTAATACTTAGGTTCAAAGAAGAGACATCTGTCTACCCAAATGCCTGTCCACCTGCCTAAATAGCTGAAGCTTGCAGAAAAGAAGACCCCAAGGATCTAGATAATGAAAGACTTAATGGACAGTTGGCATGGTGTTGATACCTGTAAGTCTCCCACTATTATCAGTTAACAGAAGAACAAGAACTTAATCGCAATCACAGATCCCGTGTGCCTTGAGTTGTCAAGCCAAACTTGTGCGTTCAGAAGAAAATGGTTGAGGTACTTGACTATGTGTTCCATTAAGTAACGACAAGGAACATCCATACATACATATTTAGTGCCGACTGAAACATCGATCTAGATGTAACAACATGGAAACGAATAACTTTTATAAATCTAGTAGTGGTACGAAAAGTAACAGTGGATGTTCTAAATGACTGGGTCGAAGACAGGTCACATCATTAAAGGTTTCAGCAGAAGTGGAGTCTAAAGAATCGTATGGACCCCAGGCAAGAAAATAATTATGATAATTATGTTGATACTTGGATGAGAACTGAATCGGTTGACGGTAGATCTCGTCATTCAGAACAAGAGAGCAGTTACTTAAGACGTCATCATAAGAAAACCAGATATTTATTAAGATTAATAATGATAATAATAGTAATAATGGTAACAATTTTAATAGGAATAAGGTTAATTAAGCAAAACCAAGTAGAAAAGAAAAACAAAAATATAAGGCGGAGGTAACAACCGAGGGCGAAGGACAAATGATGAATGGTGAATATTACTAGACGACTTTGTAATTCCTACCACAGTAGGTTCAAGCTGACTACCATTTTCCTACGAATGCAGATAATTGATTTGATAACTCGAAGCCCACAGGCTTCTATGATTGTGAACAACTTCTTGTTCTTCTGTTTACTGATAATGGTGACCAACTTACAGGTATCAATCCCATGGCATTATCTAGATCCTCGTGGTCTTCTTCTCTGCAAGCTTCAGGAAGTTAGGCATTTGGGTAGACAGATGTCTCTTCTTTGAACCTAAGTATTTGCTTCTGTGTTTATACTCAAATTTATTTATGCATGAAAATGTGCTGGGGCTTGGAGCCCTGCCTTTTCTCGTTTTGTATTCGCAGTCGCCACTTTGTATATTCTCCGGCTACCATTTTTATATTCCTCTGTAGTTACTTGCTATGACCTTGTGTGGACTACTATATTTGCGGACGATTGGACAATTAAATCCCCGTTAGTCCCTCAGCTCATCCGGAAGGGGAAAATGCAGCAATATGACAGGTGTGTTTACAATGTTAATGGCAATATGAACAACACATACACATTACAAGGTTCATACATATTACAATGACCTTGGCTGTTTCCAGACCTTTCTAGATTTAGATTCTATCGATTTTTCGTCTCTTCGATCAACCCGATACTTACACGTTGATTCACATGTTTCTTCCTGAAACTTCAAAGCAAAACGATTGGCTAGAAAAGGCTTTAGTTATATGTCACCTTTTAGGAAGATTTTGTTATTCTTTCTGCACACTATAACAAACTGGTTGTTGTAGTAACTATCTGGTGATCTTGAAGAACATGAGTTTAACAGCATAATAAGTTCATTTAACAAGAATTGTTTTTGCTGTCTGCATCAAAACTCCAAAACAGTCCTCTATTCAGTGTAAGATATTCTAAAGGGAAAAGTTAGCAGCATTTCTATCTGTAAATAATTTAATACTGTGCAATGCAGCAAAACTTTATTACTGTTTTAACTTACATATGACTAGTTAGGATTGCAAAACTATTGCTTATTTGACTAGAATTGCATGCAAGAAATAAAACGATTTATTTCTACATTTAGATTAATAGCAATTTCAGTCATTTGCTACTTTTCTGTTTCGGTACTAAGATACTAGGACACATTGCACACTGGAACAGTTAAATTATCATTATCACTATAACCATGAGGCTAAGTTACCGTTATTTCTGATAAAAAATAAAGGTGCATAGCTTATAAAAAAATAAAACTTTCATTTTTGAAGAAAAACCCAAGTGTAAGCGGAAACCTAAATGTCATCAAAATACCTCCTTAAAGTGCATAAAGCATATTGTTTAAACACTTTATCAGTCACCATTTAGTTCATCTAAATATTTACCTAAATGAATCACCGATAAAATACAAGTACAAGCTATAAGTATGGAAAACGTTTAGTAGATTACGACTGTAAAATGACTGCCAAGTTTTGAATAGTATAGTCGTTGAAAGTAGGCAGCGAATTCAAATGTCAAAACCATCATAAAGAGAAACAAAAATGTGTTGATAAGGTTATGTATCCCAATTTAGTTTAGACTGCCTAACTAGATAATGTTTATTAAATATCCACAGTTACATTGAAGTTTATATTCTAAAGAAATCAGAAAAGGTGACTGTAGAATGTGAACATCATGGTAGAAAACAACTTCATAAAAGACTTTTACATCTGAAATATTGTGCAGTGATACCTTTTATTTACTGAATTACATTGTAAGCACAATTTAGTCCTTACAAGCTTATCAAAGTATTAAAAGGAAATTTGATGTATCTTGTTCATATTCCTGTTACTCCTGGATAGTTGGAGAGTCACTCGGGTTGAAAACACTCAATCTGCCTAAATTCAATTTCTAAAATCGGTATTGATGTATGTATCTAATAATGAATCCCGTTTTCTACCTGATTTCAAGTCCTTCCCTTTGAGTATACGTCAAGGAAGCCATCTTTCTCCCTCGGTTACCTTTCTTAGTTGGTCAGCCAGAAGAAAAATAGTTGATCCTTTTATTTTCTAATAAGGTAACTGAACCTTACTTGCTCTTTTTTTGTCTACACACCGAGATTTACGAATATCAAAGTTTTCAAAAGACCAAATTATTTTATATTTATAGATTAGTATGACACCAAGCCAGTGACAGTTGTCTTTGAATGAGTCCATAAGTTTACATCTTATCCTTATCGTAACTCTGTTACAAATTCCTTGTAAAACTTTATATGTCCCTTAGGGAAATAGCAGCGGTAAACAAATAAGAGAAAAGAGACAGTAGCAGACAACAATTTCATTTATATGTAGGTGTTTCATTGAAAATTAAAAATGTGATTGAAAGAGCTTTGTAAAATGGAACAGTCCCAAGAAGACATGACTGGATACATTTAAAGTTTTCTTAAAATTTGATCTGAGAAGCACTACTTATCGCAATCAATATTATGCACAAATTGTAGTCTCTACAATCTGACAAATAGACCAGTTAATTTTTGGTTCATACAAGTTGAATCGGCAAACAATTGATGTTCTTATTGTCAAAACAAGACGGATAAAACAGCTACAGGCATTATTTCTTGTCGATTAAAATCTTTTCTATTTTGTTAACGTTTGTCAAATACCTAGAGTGAAAAGAATATTCATTATAACATTGTTAAACAGCATGTATGAAGTCAGTGAATCTCTCAGGTGTTTGATTTTTAGATCACCTAGGCAAGTATTATTCATACCCTTTTGCAGGATATTAATCAAGATTATAAACAACGTTGCCGTGTAAACTTTTAGTCACTCCATTAATCAGGTTCATCATAGTCAATCAAAGAAATTACTCGATACTAGCATGCTTTTCTATAAGGCTATTTTAACCAAATAGTAATAGATTTTCTCCAGCCAGTGGAGATAAGTAAATATTAGGTTTTGTTAGGCGGAGGCAACTGACAAGAAGTCCTGAACTTAGATTTAGTCCATCTCCATATTCGTCAACGAAGCAAGTATTCACCTTTAAGTAATCTGGTAATTCCTTGGTAGTTCCAAATCATATCACTCAGAGTTGACGTCTGACACCTAACTACTAGTCTATTAAAGCCACAACACAGCCCTCACTGGACTGCACTAAATGGTCACGAATGGGTGACTGATACAGCGGTCTAGTTTGGAGTGCTTAGTACTAACTGAAGTCTTTCCATCATGTTTTGTAATGTGGTTACTAAACTAATTGACGTGATATCCTGATTTACTCCACTTTAATGTTACATGCAAAGAAAAGACGCTGGACAATATATACTGAAGTTAAAAAAAGAATTTTCTATATCACCCATAAGGTGCAAAAAAGTTCAGCATTACGGATGCACCAGAACGTCCGTAATATCACAGAAAGCTGTTTAAAGCTATTAATGTTTCTCAAAGATAAAATAAGAGCTATCAACTTTGAATTGGTTTTGTCATTGACACAGTCCAAACATATTTTTCCATATTAACTGACATTTCGTGAATATGGCTACTTCATTGGTATTAATGTGCTACCATATATGTGAAGTTCGACTCATTCCCACAAGTCATTTATGAATGAATTCCCTGGCAAAATTATCAGCATATGTGATACATTCATTACATCATGACTGTTTTAGCGGTTTATTTGTACTAAAATAGTATTGCAACGAACTTAAGTGGTTAATTAGTGTGGAATCTTGCAAAGAAATGATAATGAACAATTTTATCTCTCTGTTTTCTAGGTAGTGACACATTATGAACGTGCCGTACTTTTTCGTCTTGGCAGACTTGTTTCAGCTACAGCTAAAGGACCAGGATTAATATTTGTTTTGCCCTGCCTAGACCGTTACCGTGTTCTGGATTTACGTACATTCACATTCGATGTGCCTACACAAGAAGTTCTTACCAAGGATTCAGTTACAGTCGTCGTAAATGCGGTAGTGTATTATCGTGTGAGAGATCCTGTGCGGGCTGTAGTTAATGTTGAAGATGCAAATCGTGCTACCCGAGTTCTTGGACAGACAACCTTACTTAATGTACTAGGCACTGTAAATTTGGACGAATTACTGACTGCTAGAGAAGATATTGCGGCTTTAATGCAGGTAAACATTAAAATTTAAATTGTACTACTTCTACGTATTCCGAGCATATCTGAATTTTTTGCCAAATACATTTAACGACCAGTTATGCAATCATTTCCAGCAAGATGACTTAGGAAGTATTTTGTTAACTTTTGTATTGCCAATCATTTTGTAGTTTCTGGTCCATAGATCCAAATTGTTAATGTTTTCATTCAACATGAAAAAATTAGCTACTCTTCCTCTCATTGCATTTAAATTAAAAATCACTTGAAATTTCTCTAGACGTTCTATACCTTTACTATCGAAAGTTATACTCACTCCATCATTTTTACTGCAATAACAATACAAGTTCATAAACACACCTAATTTACGGTTCACGTTGGCTATTTGAAGAAATTTATTTCGTATAGGTCATTCCAACATATATGTATTTATATATCTGTGAGAAGATAAGAAAGAGAAAGATGGACAGCTGTAAACTGTCGATAGTTTTCATTATGATAGACAGTGACTTATTACAATCCTTAACTAAAGCTTAACATTATCTAGCTGAATAGCTGAAACTTCTCTGGTACTCAAACGCAGACCAGCAAAAACGTTTCACTTCCACGGAAAATTTATCAAGACTTCTATAAGACACGTTTATTTTATATGATTTAAGTAATCATTCCTTTTTAATGACTTCTGGTATGGTGAAACTCACCGTGTAACACCAATGCAAATAAGTTGTATTTTGAACTTTATTAGGAAACTCGTTATTCTTTATTGTGCTTCTGAGTATTTTCTAAAATTAAATTTGTTTCATGCTTCCATTCATATTTCTGAATTTCCAATAAGTAATAAATTTAAAATGTCAGATTACCAATTTGTATACGATTTTCCTCATCGAAAACCGTGCACAGCAGGTTACATAAAAAATCTGTAACCCTCTATAAATCATTTATTTCGAGATGCGAAACTTATCTGATTACATGCTGTGTATTTGCGATTGACGGAGAGAAATATTTCTGTCTTGAAAAGTAGTAGTATTTTGAAATGTCTTAATCAAGTGAAGACTTTGTAGTTTCAGCCTAACCGAGAGGCCAACTGATATACAAGATAGATAAATATGGTATTTTGTGGTATTATGTCCTTGCATACCAACGTTCCCACTTCTACATGCCGAGATTTCTTACATACTTTCGAAAGTTTTTCTACTGAAACTTTGTTGAATCAGAATATTACTGAAGCATTGTTTTCGCTGAATGCGATTCAACTTTTGTAGAAAATGATAAGAACAAGGAAGTAAGTACCCTGTAACTTATATGACGTTTTAAATTTCTTTAAATATTCATCAAAAGTGTGCTGATGGAAAGTACACCATCATCCTGTAAGAACGTTCCTGAAGAAAGTTTGAGAAAATATATTTCTCTGTAAGGTGGGTTTTCTCGTAAAATTGAGAAATCGATTAGTCATAAACAGAAATCTCAAACCATTATTTACCACATAGAAACACTTTACGCTGACACTTCGATTTCGTATCAAAAACAAGAAATATCACTAGAAAATACTGCAGCAAATCTCTACATAGAAAAAACAACTAGCACCCTCATTATTTATCAGTTTCATGTAATTTGAATCGACTGCAGTACACTAATTTCGTATATAGTCCCACAAATCTGCTGATCCATAATAAAAAGGAGAGTCTACAATATAAATTAACAACTTAATAACCCAATAAAATTTAATAATCAATGATGAATAAGATCTGCTGCCAATTTTCGTCATTCGTAGCCATAAAATACGTGATATAAAACTGATTCGAACCACCAACCACCGAGTTTAGGTCCAATGCTTTACCAACTGCTACGAGATCCGACCGCTGACCAGATTTTTATTTCACTTCAATCATTCGTGACTCACTGCTACTCCTTGATCGTATTCACAGTGGCTGTTTAGTCAGGACTTCTCCTCCTAGTCCAAAACTAACTGAATTGGAGAAGAGGAGTATGATGCTAATTATCATTTTGACTATCTGAGATAGTCACCGTCCGAATTTTTATTCCACCTTCCTTCATCAGTCAATATAAATACTAATCTGACAAACTATGGCTATCCCAAATAGTCAGATTGATAATATTTATTTATTCATTTTGGACCGCAAAGAAGACAGATTATTGAAACACTGCACACACCCTACAATCATCATACGTTTAGTGTACTTGGTGAGAGCATTTGCAATGCACCTGAAAAACCAATTCGTCTATAAAAGAAATCTGCGTGATTAATTTCATTATCCTGTTCATCACCATCAGTTAATCTCTTCGTTTACCAAGACAATCAAAGTGTTTACTGAGATGTTTAGCGAAGATATATTTTTTAATTATTTCATCTTCTGAAAATGTGTAAGCACAATTTTACATACTTTGAACAGCAACAGCAAGTAAAGATAACTTGTAATTCCTGTTCACAATAACAAGAACGCATTTAAATGAGAGTTGTGGCAAAATGAAACAAGAGGTAGGAAAAATTGTCATTAAGAGAGGGAATTAGTCATTAGAGAACACAGAGAATAAGAGGATTGACATGTTCTATTGTAAAGTCGTGTAATATAGCTGTTTAGCTGCAAAGCGGACTGACCAGCAGAAGGATGGGGATGATATTGAGTTGCTAATACTGAATAATCACAAAGTTTTGAAATAAAAACAAACGAACAGAAGAATTTCAACCCTAGTAATCACATCTGTGATATAAAGGTAGGCTAAAATTGTGTTATTTCGGTCTGTCATTACATGTGGCAAGATATTCTGCAATATGAAGGAGGTTTTTCTTCGTCAAGTGATTTCCCGTCACTTTGTGAATAGCTTTGACTGAAGATTTTTCTTGTGAGTGGTGTTGCGATGGTTTAAACAACTATAGTTCTAATACAGACATAGAGACATTCGTATGGTCATGCAATACAGCGTTTCTAACTTCCTTTGTAAAAAATACCCACCAAATACCTGAGATCTACCTCCAAGGCACCAAATGAACTGATGTTAGCATGTGAAATACTTAGAGGCAGAATACTGACTTTCAGATTAAAAGATTAATTTAACTGATTGCAGAGTACGGCTTTTCATGACAATAGCGAAGATAGAACTTCATATGGAATGGATGAACTTTTTTCTAGGAAATCAGCCGCCATATTGGATGACCACATTGGTGTACAGTACTTTCTTCGACATGGCTTCGAGTTTATCTCTGGTTTTTCTCCCCTATAATCCTATCCATAAATAGGGCAGAATATCTATTTCCTTCACAGACACAAGTTTTAGGTTAGTCAGTAATCGTAGGTGAGATGCGAAGAAAGTTCTCACTCAGCTAACACATCACCAGCCTACAATGTTTATTGGCTTTTCATTTCTTCCAGGCTTCATGTGTACTGACCTTCTCAATGAGATATGGTTTCTTTTAGTCAAGTTTAGATCTCTAAATGATAGTTTGCTTCCCTTCCAGTTTAAATTCAGAATTTAAATGAGAACTGATATATTATTGGAGTATAAATGAATTCAAACGCATAATATAGACGAATAAATTTTTGTCAAATATTTACTAGTCATTGGCTTAGGACGATTATTTTCTGCAGTACAGCAGAAATGATCAGCGAGCAATCGGTCAAGTATGTCATCCATAGTAATTCTTCTATCCTACCTATAGATCATACTGTTTAGGGTGAATTGTTCGTTAATCTGCATCTAGGCAGCAAACCTTTTAACTGTGTGGTAAGTATTTAAAATACCCAAGCTATTATTCTCAAAATTTCTGTATTTGGAACAGTCAGTCTCCTTGGGTAGAAATTTCATGAAGAGAGATCGCATATCAAACGATACCCAACTACATTTAAGTCTCATTTGTCATCAGTAGAGGCAAGAATGCTACAAACACAGTGACTGAACACCTTTTTCTCCACATTTTCTAGAATTTCAAACAGCCAATTTTCGATTAGATGCTATAGCCGACCCGACCAATCAAAAGTAAGAGTGAGGTTGAGAAATCTGTATTCACTTTAAAATGATTACATAAACAAAATATTATGAAACCTGCTGGCCTACAACGTTCGTAAAGATCTCTACTGACCAGTCTAACATCCTATTCAGAACATCACAAAACCGCTGTTAGACAAGTTCATTCATCTTTTCTCACCGTAAGTCTAAGCGAACTTAGTAACCATTATCCTCACTCAGAAGTATGATTCCTTGCCGTAGATGTTCCTGTTTATTAGACCTTCACTTGGGCTATTATCTAAAGGTGGTACTGGTAAGCGTTAGTTGTGTCTTAAAAGTACTGTTTGTCCGGAATGTTGGAATTCTTATTTCCATAATGCGACAGTTGAACACGTATTCAAAATATATTTTCACTCGTAAAGTAGACTGATATTTTGACTGACATCACACAATTTAACAACATGTAAGAGAAAATTTTGTTTTTGTTTAGACAACCTCAGTCGGTACTGTAAAATTCTTAATTTTTCTTAAGTGTATGGCAATAAATAATTCTCCATGAAGCCAATCTGAGGAAACACCGTATTGATTTCGGTGAATAGAAAATATCTAGGTATTAGTGATAATCATTCTCGTATTTATCCTAACGGAAACACGAATAATGAGGACACCATGTTGCTGCAGACATTTAAGCAACAAATATAGGCCACAACTAACAAAACAGACGTTACGTAATACTAAGCAATAGAGTATGACATGCGTGTGGAAGCGTGCAGAAAATGAAAGGGGTTAACACTTATTTTTTGTCTTTCAAATAATTTATTAGCTTTTCTCGCGCCTAAACAGAAATAAGAAATGCACAAGATATTTTTCTGCATACAAAGCCCGTTACTTTCCCTAATTCCTACAGCCTCAGTTATATTTCATATTATTATTATTATTATTATTATTATTATTATTATTATTATTACTTGTCCCTTGGGTTCCTAATGGAACATAGGGCTTCAGTAGCACATCTCCAGTGAACTCTGTTCTCTGAAATCGTTTGAACCTGGCGTC